CACCTTGTCTGTACAAACAGAGAATATCTAAAACAGAAATAATTCTGTCTTGATATCATGGCAAAAATCTAACAATTTATATTAAGAGAACAATAATAGGAACAATCACCAAAGTGGATTCTCTGACTTAAGCATCTTTACTCATATAAAGTCAACAAGCTGCCTAAACCAAACTTGTTGCTAGCAATCTAATTTCCTTCCCATGTGTCCTGTCTCCTCTCACTTACATGAGCATCCTCAGGTTGAGAGCTGATTCCTTTGTCTGTTTCCTTGCCAGTGTATTTATTTTCCTCTTGGAATTTCTTCTCAAAGTTCCTTGTTATCCCTTCTTAACCTCTGGGCCATTTCTAGCAGATAATATGATACTCAGGATTGTTTCCTGCAACAAGTAAGGGTGAACAAAATTCATCTGTCCTCAAAGGCATAGTGCCCTGTAGTCTTTGGAAGCTAAAGTGTTTATGACATCATGCACACTCTTGCTCAAATAGAAATCTTCCTGTCAGGAGGAAAGGAAAGAAAGATCCCATATCTGTGCATTTCAGGGATACTTCAACAGAAAGATTAACAGTGATATGAATAATGGGTTGTTGTTAGAATTGAACTTGCTGGACTCATACAAGTTTAATAGGACTGACATTTGTGGGGACACACTGGATTTCTCAGGAGAGGTAAAGCTGCCAGTCTCCACAGAACTCCTTCTTATAGCTGCCCTGATGCCTAGTCACACAAGATTCCTAGGACATTCTTCCTGAGCTGTGAATGAGTGGAGATATTACAAATCTGTCTACAAACATTTCAGAGCAATCCCTACCTGGGAATGAGTTTAATCTACTGGAGACCATGTGCTGTCAAAGTTAACACAGTGTGACAAGTCTGATATTTAGTATTATGATTTTCAAATGACATTAAATTTGTGTGATCAATAACTTTGTTAAATATTGTTGCTTGAGACAGTCAAAAGGAAAACCTAAATAAATGAGTTATGCAGAGCCTGAGGAACCAGTGAAGAGTGGCCAGCAAGGGCATTTCCTGACTCTACTCAAGAGTTTATTTTTCTCAGTTAACCACGTACAAGCCCCAAGTGACCATCTCCTATGACAGTTAGAAACCTCCCCTAGAAAGATACAAGGTCAGTTAGTTCGTGGAATCTATGTCACTCTCAGAATGCTACAATAACAGAAATGACCCAGTTCAAAGGCTCTCTCAAACACCATGAAGAAAATTTATCTCACAGTAGGATCAATTTATGTAATGAAAAAGTAGGATCTGCAAGGTTTGATAGCAGTTGCGGTTCTAGAGTGCACAGAAGTGCACATGTAACCAGAAGCTATTTCCATTTATAACATTCTTCACATGAAAAATGAGATTTCTCTAAAACAGTCTAACCAAGGAAATCAAACACTCCTAATCATAGGCTGAGGTCCATTAGCTGATGTCATCAGGAATCCAATCAAATGCATTTAGGAGGTTCCCTGTCTCAAGATACCACCTGGATTTATTGACATTTTATACATTTATTTATTTATCTCTTATTTTCTCCTGCAGTTCTTTTGACTATATAGTACAGCTTCTAATATTGTGTTTTTATGGGATTGCTGAGTATGTAAATCAGGAGGTCTCTGCAACCATACCTACTTCTTGTGCCATTTCTTGGGCTCTTTTCCTTCAGTTTTTGTTTTGTTTAGTCTTGTACTAACATATTACTTTTTATATCATTTTTATTGATTTAATATTATTCACTAGATAGATGTCTGTTTTCAAAAGAGAGCAAGGTGCTGTACAATGATGGGGAGGACTTGTGGGTTGAGGAGGAGGAGGGAGTGTGGGATGCAGCTGACTCTATCAGCAGGTGTTTCCTCTACATTCCACAGTCTGGAGGGAGCGAGAAGTATGTGTGGACCCTGCGTAACAACAAGATAACAGCGAGCAAATTTCATGAGAAAGATGGAAACCCATCATATGTGTGGAGAAGGGAAGAAAAACTTGAGCTGTGTGGGCTTCCTAATGAGAAACAAGGAACTCAGGAAACCAAGAGTGTTAAAAATTGGTTATCACTGACCTGATACTTAAAAATATAAGAGAGAGGAATTTGGTGGGGACATTGGGATAGGAAGTGGACGTCATGTCAGGATGTGTTTCCTGTGATCCTTGAGTGCCAAAGCTCTCTTCTTCCAGACTCACAGTGTAGGAAGTCAGGGAAAATAATGGCCATGTTGTAATAACAAACTGGAGTGGTATGAACCTTTCTCATTTATAAAGACTAAGCCGACTCCCTACATGCAAATGCATCTTCTAGCTCTAAGTTAAATCCCCTTCTGAGCTGTGGGAGCTTAGAAATCTCTCACAGGAGGCTGACCTCTGAGAAAAGGGGTAGTAGCCTAGAAGATGAGAATGTTGGGTCTTCTGTACCTGGTGACAGCCCTTCCTGGTGAGTGTGACCATTTCATACATGTGTCCATGAGGGGATGTGACAACATGTGATTGACAGAATTGACTCTTCCTGTCTGCAGGTGTCCTGTCCCAGATCCAGCTTCAGGAGTCAGGACCTGGCCTGGTGAAGCCCTCACAGTCGCTGTCCCTCACTTGCTCTGTCACTGGTTACTCCATCACCAGTGATTACTGGTGGCACTGGATCAGGCAGTTCCCAGGGAAGAAGCTGGAGTGGATGGGGTACATAAATTATGTTGGTGGCACCAACTACAACCCATCCCTCAAGAGCCGCATCTCCATCACCAGAGACACAGCCAAGAACCAGTTCTTCCTGCAGCTGAACTCTGTGACCACTGAGGACACAGCCACATATTACTGTGCAAGACACACAGTGAGGGGACTTCAGCATGAGCCCAGACAAAAACCTCCCTGCAGAGGAGCTCTGGGCCAGCAGGGGGCGCTCAGCCCTAGCCAAGCCCAGGATCTCTAAGTCTTTAGAGCTGGAAAGAAAAACACGTGGTTTCTTCTGTTTTTGCTTCACACTCCCTAAGCACAGAGATGACAGGAGGTCTTTTCTCTCACTCATTCTGAAATCTGTGTTTTTGTAAAGTCATATTTGTTTGCTTCTCACTGAGTCTCTCTAGAGTTTCTTTATAAAAGTCAGTTGGCCTTGGCATTGCAGTAGTTGATCCATTAAAAAATAATTCTTCCCTCGATTCTCCATTCCCGTCATCCTCAGATACATCTTCCTGTCATAGCACTTCCTAGAGCATTGACAGAAAGTAGCTGTATTATCCATCCTACAAGGAGGGGAATGGATTTCCTTAGTTCAAGACTTCATGGGTGAGGTACAAAAAGTGGTGTCATGGTTGTTATGCCCAAGCTAATTTGGCATATTTCATACAAAATACAAATTCTTCATTTTTATTAAAACAGCAATTAATCAAATTCTCCCATGTTTACACTGATAATTAACATTTTATAAGTGTATCATGGAAGACTCTGGGACCAGATATGGCCTACTGGAGACACAGTTTGTAATTAGGACTTCAACCCCAGAACCACTGTCAGGAACAATGCTTCCAATAGTCAAGTTTTCTTGTGTCTGAACCATGTGGCATGCCTAACTGTGCCAGAGACATAGGAGGACACTTCAGTGTGGACTCAGACTTAAATCCTCCATGCATAAGCGTTTGAGTTAAGCATAGCACTTAAGAAGCTCTGAGT